ACGATGTCGTTAATTAAGAGTTGTTTGTATTACAGGCTGGGGGACGAAATACGGTTCTTGATGATGCTATTAGAAGAAGAATTCCCTTGATTAGTGACCGCCCGACCATAATCATGGGTGCTGATGTGACTCACCCGCAACCTGGAGAGGACTCGAGTCCTTCTATTGCTGCTGTATATCTTGATTGCTTTTTTTCCTTGTATGTATTTCACTATACAGCTGATTAAACATATAAGTTAATCTCTTTTTTAATTCTTAACTACAGGTTGTTGCTTCGATGGACTGGCCAGAAATAACCAAATACCGAGGACTGGTTTCCGCTCAGGCTCATAGGGAGGAAATCATTCAGGACCTGTACAAGCTGGTTCAGGATCCTCAACGAGGGTTAGTCCACTCTGGTTTGATAAGGGAACATCTCATCGCATTCAGGAAGGCTACAGGTCAAAAACCTCATAGGATCATATTCTACCGGTAAGTTATTGATGGGTTTTACAATGTATGTAATAATCTGTTTGGCTAATTGTTTTTCTTTATGCAGCGATGGTGTAAGTGAAGGGCAATTTAATCAGGTGCTGCTCCATGAGATGACTGCTATACGCAGAGCTTGTAATTCTCTTGAAGAGGGTTATGTTCCACGTGTCACGTTTGTCGTCGTTCAGAAACGACACCACACTCGCTTGTTTCCTGCTCAACACGGCAATCGTGATATGACCGATAAAAGTGGCAATATTCTGCCAGGTTTCCCTCAGTCTGCTCGTTATCAACTTAAATTCTTTTGATGATCTCAACATACAATTTTAAACATTTTTTGGATTTCTTCTTATTAGGAACCGTCGTCGACAGCAAAATCTGTCACCCGACAGAGTTCGACTTTTACTTGAACAGCCACGCTGGTATACAGGTATTCATAATTTCTCAGACCAGTTTAAAAGCCTGTTGTCGCAGTCGGAATTATAAGTATCTTTGGGTGTTTGAATGTTCTAGGGGACAAGCAGGCCTGCTCATTACCATGTGCTTCATGACGAGAATGGTTTCTCAGCTGATGCATTGCAAATGCTCACCAACAACCTTTGCTACACGTAAGGAACAACAACTTACAATTTCTTTTTGAACATACAAAGCAAATTGTGCTAAACCAAAACGTAAAACTCGTAGGTTTGCGAGGTGCACAAGATCTGTCTCAATCGTTCCACCGGCTTACTATGCACACTTGGCTGCTTTTAGAGCTCGTTACTACATGGAAAGTGAGATGTCTGATGGAGGTTCTAGCAAGAGCAGGAACACGACTACAAGTACTGCTCCTGTTGTTTTACATCTCCCGGCAATCAAGGATAACGTCAAGGACGTTATGTTCTACTGCTGAACGATGCATACTTCTTGGTCACTTTTGACAATACGAAAGGAAAAAAAACAAAAACTTATCTTCGGTTCGGTTTTTATAACATCTCTTTTTGGTTGGCTGTGAATATTTGAAGGTTTCGGCTAATATTTTCGTTTTTGGTTTTTAAATTAAGATCTGTCTAGTTTGTCTTTTGGGAACTTCGGACGTAATTATGGTTTAATTATGGTTCTGTTTTTAGACGATCGACTTGGAATTTACATATGAATGATATGTTCTGCGTTTTGCTTCTATTAATTGTTTCTCTGTGCCTGACTTATTCTAATTTGCAATCTGTAATGAGTGATGCTCACCAAAAATTTGGGAACTTCGGACGTAACTCAATTGGAAAAATGGGGCTACAATTCTATTAGTATGCTCAGAATTACAATTTTTTTTCTACAATTTTCGTTTATCTTATTTAATCGCATCTGTTTGTTTCCTTCTCTTTCCATATATTTTGCGCAGACACCTCATTTAATGCATAAGTGCAGAGGAAAAACTCTTGATATCAGCCACCCGCGATTGGGGGGCACGACACGACACAACTATTGAAGCCATCAACGTGTGAAAACACAAAAAAGTACTAGTCGCTAATG